GTCAGTTCTTTCCAAATGACAAGAGTCGATGCAATCTCAATCAAAATCCCAGAAGTATTTTTGTGGAAATTAAAAAGCTGATTCTAAAATCTTTATATAAAGTCAAAGGGCCAAGAATAGCAAAGACCATCTTAAGGAAGAACAAAGTTGGAGGACTTAACTATCAGATATCATTATGAAACCAGGAGTCCAAACAGTGTGGTTTGGGCTCTAGAAAACAGACCCAAACGCGTATCATTGCCCTAAAAACCTGCTACATACTATGGGGATTCAATAAATGATTCAGATCAACTAGAAAGCCACAGGGGATAAATAAATATTGACTTATACCACACACAAAACCAATCTGTTAAATTGTAGACCTAAGTGCAAAAGATAAAATATCTTGATAGTAGCAGACTATCTTCATAATCTTGAGGTAGACAAAATTTTCCTAAAATACAAAAAATTTTTTTTCCTAAAATAGAATACAAAAAGAAAAAGCACCAAGCATAAACAAGAAGACTGATAGATTCCTCTTCATTAAAATGAAGAACTTCTGTTCATCAAAAGATACCATATTAAGAAAGTGAAAAGACAACTCACTGGCAAATATGTGCAACATGTATACTGTATACATACAAAGTAGTCAACTCTGGCAAATCAAAAGAAATCAGACACTGAGTCACTATGCTGTATATCTGAAACCAATATAATATTGTAAATCAGATATATTCCAATTTAAAAAAATAAATTAAATAACCCAGTGTTTTTAATAAACAAAAAACTAGGGATATACCTCACAAAAAAAGGATAATCAAGATAGATGGGCATATGAAAAGGTGTTCGAAATCAATATTCTCAAAGAGATTAAATTAAAAACCATAAGGAAATACCACTATGCATCTACCAAAACAGGTAAAACTAAATATAATGCAATAGTAGTGTCAGTGAGCAATGAACACTCATAACCTATTGGTGGGAGTGTAAACTGGGATAGCTGCTTTGGAAAACGGCTTGGCAGTTATCTACTAAAGCTAAACATAAATAAACCCTATGCCCCAGTAATTCCACTATGTCTAAACCCAAATTGAAATAAATATATATATTTACCAAAATAAATTATAAGAATGTTCCTAACAGCATTATTGCAATCACCAAAAACTGGAAACAATGCAAAGACCCATCAATTGCAGAAGGGTTAAGGGTTAAGTGAGTTATGATACCGTCACATAATGCAGTACTATATAGAAATGAAAAATAAACTTGTTATAAGCAAAAGAATGGAAATTCACAAACATACAAATGAATGAAAGAGACACAAAGACTACACATTGTATGATGTTATTACTATGAATTTTTTATGGCAAAACTAATATGTTTTGAGTATTAGTCAATAGAAGTTAATATATTGGTTACTCTTAATGAAGGGATAATGGCTGGGAGCGGGGGCAGGGGAGGGCTTTCTGGAGTTCTGATGATCCACATCATGATCCAAGTGAAGTTTAAATGCATATGTTCACTTGCAAAGTTCAAATTCCGCATTTAATTGTGTACTTTTCTGTACATATATCATAATCTCACATGAAAATATATGGGAAAAACAATTTGACAAAATCCAGCCAAATAAAATGAGATTGAAATAAAGAATCAATAATGGGGCACCTAAGTTAAAGAATTATTAGTATACACTGAATCCACTTAAATACAGCGCTATGGCTAAACTGCCGTTAGAAAGCAGAAAGAAATGTATCAACTTCAACAATCAAAATTTATATAATTAAAATATAATTTCTATTATTCTATTAAGTTGAAACAGCTGGACAGACTTTCACCATATTTAAAGGGTATATTTGGGGCAATGGGACTTAAACTATGGGCTACATGGTATAAACTGAATACTGCATGTGGAGTGGTCACCTCAAAAGAGACACAAGAAGGTACCCATGAAAGCAACGGCAGACCCCACCTGCAATGGCAGACCAAGGTGTACCCTGTTCCAGGCTGAATGTCCACGAGGACTTATTCAACAATGTTAATGATTCTTCAAAAAATCTCTAGAAAAGCCAACTAGCATAATATAACTAAAAAAAAATTGAGGTGCAAAGAAGGGTACGTGCACATCATTCATAGGGAGCAACAATATATACTGTATGTGATGAAAAAGTAAAATACAAACTACAGGGTCACACACTATAGACCTACTCGGTGAATCTCCAAGGATGAGACCCAAGAGATTCTAATGAACAGCACATTTTGTTGGCTTGGGCAAGCAACTTAATCAAAACCCTACAAGAAAATAGCTAATGGAGGTATTAATGCCCTTTTAACTTTCTGAGTTCTTTCCAGTAAATTAAGCTATTCTTAACCCAGATGGGGCAGGGAGGGATTCTTTAAGGGTGGAACTACATGTTATTGATCTTCAGAGTCCCAGGAATCTAGCCTTGACCAGGTACATAAATTAGACTTTACAAATAATTTCTGAATGTTGATCTAAGAGTACAAACTCTTGGTACTGAATCCAGTAACTGTTGCAACTATCCTGACAGATAAAGTGTTTAGTTCTAATAAACCATAACACTCTTTGACAATGTACTTTTTAAGGGCAGATTGGTAACTTAAGTCTCTTCCTTCGGCTTTATGTCATCCCAAAATTCTGTGCTTCAAATAAAACTCTTAGGCTATTGAAGCTGAAAACATTTGCAAGTGGATAAATTCACATTTCACTCTGATTTCCAAATTTACTGCACCAAAATCAAAAGCATGGATATAAAAAATACACAGAAACCTTGCTTCATTCCACTGAGGACCAATTCTTAGAGGTTTTTACCATAATGGATATCTCCTAGGAACATAAAGAGAAAATACATTGCATTAATTAAGCCGACCCCTTTCCGAAAGAGATTTGAGTCTCATAAACACAAAGCACATACACTTTTTTTAAAAAAATTATGACAAAGGAATAGAGGAAGGAGCAAATATGCTAGTTACAAAGATAAATATAGTTTCTATGACTAAGCATCACATTTAGCTCTAAGCTTCCTGGTAACCAGATCAAAAAAGACCTCTCAATTATACCACTTGCTAAAAGATGGAATACCAATTTCTCAAAGAAGAAAGCTTTTCCTTGCGCAAGACCCCTACTTTTCAGGTGCTGGCTTTCTGCTTTTGTGTTTTAGATATGGGATATTGTAATTTGAAGAAAATATTCTGTGGCATTAAAAAAAAAAAAAGCTAGACAACAAAACACTAGCTTGGTCCAACTCTTTCACTTTACAAATAGAAAAACAAAGGCCCACAAAATGAACAACTCACCTATAGTAACATGGCTATCAAGCAGCTTGATCTTACCTGATCTTAACTCTTATAAATTTATTTTTAATACAAAGAATAGCCCTGTGTCAGCTATTGAGGGTGGGGGGGAGCAGCAAGCAGTAAACTAATGAAGGATATCTAATAGTTCAACTTGTTATTCATTTATTTCTCCTAAATAAAGCTTTATACATGTAACGATGGTCCAACAAGAAATTTCCAGCCTTCTAAACTACCCAAGGACACAAGAGAATTACAAGGTCACAGATGTTAGCTCTGCAGCAGACTGACCTGTTCAGCTGAAAGTCAGCCAACCTGCAGAAACCACATTTTCTCCAGCACACAGGTCCAAACAACAGTGATTTGCAAAGAAAGGGGGAATAGCACTGAACAAGTTCTCACTGCAGCAAAGATGTTCACTTATCAATCAGCAAAATTTTAGAGAGAAACACTACATAAGCTAGCTACAAATAGTAACATAGAGCGATCTGTCCTGAGCAAGAAGATGCATGCTGTATGTTTATAAATGAACACAAACTCTAAGCTTACTACCTTACTGAAAAATTCCACTCAGGCTTCCATTTTTATCCTCTTCATTTCAAAACTGGATGTGGCTTTCAGCACACTTGTTGACAACAAAAATGGAGTAAATGCAATTAAGACAAAACTTATGAAAGAAAAAAATGTATATGGAGATTCATGCGTATAATTTCATTTCTGAGATGAAACTACAAAGAGAACTACTACTTGTCAAAAAAGTCAAATTCAAGATACAATTTCAAAATTCCTATCTCTTTTGTAAGTTACAAATTATGAAAATATTTTAATATGCTGCTTATTTTAAAATGAAAATTTGTTCTCAGCCCTTTTTCTCAGTTTAGAATATGAGATTTTCAAAGGAATTTAGTGCAATTTAATGACATTAAAAATGGTCAATAATGTAAAAAATATTTTTCTTCTAAAAGTTGTCTTCCTTTCCCATATAAAAGCAATTAATATTTTATCCAATAATTTCAGATTACAAAGGCAATCAGTAAGATACTAATTAACTATTAAAAATAAGCAATAAATATATCTGTCAAATCTAAACTTAAAGTGATATCAGGAGCTATTTACATGCCTGCAATATTTCTACCATAAAGTTCACTATTTCTTAACATACATCTCCAAAAATTTAATCCCTTTATATGCAGATACTTAGCTTTACAAAGTGATATTTCTGTAAATAGCAAAATAATACTCAAGTGGTAAATATGGCACACCAACAAACAAGGGAACTTTCAAATGGGAGTTTTTCAAATACCAATTTTCAAATGATGTAACACTTTGACCACACCAACAAGGAAAAACTGAGAGACAAGAGCAGCCCCAACGCGTGACCCAGGAGAAAAGAAGGCACAAACTGTATGAACTGAGTGCCCATCCAAATCCCTCTGACAGGTACTAGTATCCCAAGTCAGAATCTTCTTAAGAATTTAATAACTTGCTATCGGGCATAAGGAACACAGAAATAATTCATTTTTCTACAACCCTCCACATTTTTTTGTACCATAAAGAGTTTCCCTTTACATAAATGGTGACAAGTATTTAATTGGCAAACAATCTGTTATTATTTTCTTTACTGAGCTACTAATGTACTTTCCTAAAACTAGTGTTTCTTGCAATTATAACCACAGGAAGCCAAAGGATAATTCAATAACAAAATTCACCTTCGGTATTGTTTTTGCTTTCAAACCTCCATTCTCCACAACACTGAGGTCCAGTTTGCCATCATCCTTACTTCCTACAGCTTTTAGTCCTTGCAAAAGAATATCTCGTAAGTTTTGATAAAGCGGTTTTTCAGCATAATCCAGTAATTTCACTGTTTCGATGTATTTAGCAATTTCATCTAAAAGAGTAACACAGTTTGTAATTTATAAATCATAAATATAGCATACTCATCTCTTGTAAGAAAATAATTCATGGTTATAGTAAAAACAAAATGCAAATGTATATCTTAAGACGTTCTTTTCAATCACCTTCAAAGGATGCTTTTGGACTTAGGAACTGTCAGATAAAGTCAAATAAAAAATGCATTTTGATATACCACATAAAAAAGTTTTATAATAGTAAGAGACAACAGAAGACATACTTAAAATTTATATATGTACAAACATAACTGCTATAATTTTAAAGCTATTAAAAAAATACAAAAAGACCTAGAATAAAGACTATGAAGTAAAATGTACTTGAGTACAAGGAATATCACAGCCAAGATTTTTTTGCCAGAGAAGTCATTAATTAGTTCTATAGAAAAGAGCTGCATTCTTTGTGTAAATAAATAAAAATACCACAAGCAGGTTGAAGAAAAAAGGAAGCAAGGCCTGGTTTTACCATAAGAAAAAAAACGGCTTCTGAATGATAAAGGTTCAGTGGAAACTGAAGCAGAACCATATCCATAAAAAAAAATCTTTCCTGTCAGGACCAACATGTCTCAACACTAAAAATCCATCTTTGGGCTCATACACACGTATCTCCACTAGCTTTCCACTGACCTCTGAACACGTATATCCACTGCTCTTGAATCTATAATTCTAATTTTAAATCCCAACAAATTCACCTCCAAACTCCTACCCCACCCTGAAAACCTGTTTCCCCTGCAGCTTACCCTGACCCAGTTAACTGAGAATTCCATTGTTCCAGCTCCTCAAGGCAAGAATCTTCTCTTCTAAGACCCACATCCAATAAATGAAGAGATCTGTCAGTGCTACATACTCACATACATATCCCCATCCATTCATCTGATTACTTATTAAGCAACCTCTACATGCCAGCCATGATCCTAGATACTTGGGATACATGAAGAAAGAAACAAAGATCCCTCCACTCAACTTTCTTAATAGGATAAAGGAAATCTACAGAAAACCTAAAGCAAACATCACTAAGTATGGTAAAATATTAAAAACTTTCTAAGAGAGGAAAATGCAAGGATGTCCGTTTTCACCACTTCAAATTCAGTGAAATAGTCATGTACACTTTTAGCCAGTACAATAAGGCAAGAAAAGAAACAGAGGCAGAAAGAGTGGAATGGAAGATGTAAAACACATCATAGTGTGTGTAGAAAATCCTAAGGAATCTACAAAAAACTAGTAGAACTAATAGGTAAATGTAACAAGGTCACAGAATACAAGGTAAATATTAAAAAACTATTTCTGTATACTAGCAACAAAGAAATGGACAATGCAATTTTTAAAAAATATATCACCTACAATAGCATCAAAAGTCACAAAATACCTAATAACAAATATAATGAAAGACAGGCAAGATTATTTGCAGAGAAAACTATAATGCACAATTGAGAGAAATTAAGTGAGAGCACAATAAGTGGAGGATATACCGTATCAGCTGATTGGAAGACTCAATAGTGTAAAGATGTTAATATCCCTCAATTAGTCTGTAAAGCCAATGCAATTCCACCCAAAATTCCAGCCAACTAGAGAGGGAGGGGATATATATGGAATTGACAAGGTGATTCTAAAATGTACACAGATATACAAAGGGTCAAGAATAGCAAAACAGCAAAGTCAAGTTTAAAGAATAACAGTGCTGGATATCAACTACCAAATCATGACTAAAGATAAAGCTATAGTAATTAGGATAGTGTGGCCCAAGAATAGACAAAAAGAATGATGAAAGAGAAGAATCTAGAAACTGATCCATAGTTTCACACTTGATTTAAGACAAAGGTGGCACCATAGAGAAAGAACGGTCTTTTCAAGATAGGCTATTGGGTCAAAGTGAATATAAATACAAGGGTAGGGAAGAAAGTTGATCTCTCCTCATATGACACACAATAATCAACTGCAGGTAGACTATACATCTGCATGTGTAACTGGCAATAGATAACAGCCAAAAATTGAAACAATCCAACAGAAGGAATACATAAATAACAGTATATAAATATGATGGAACAACAGTATTAGAAATGAGAATAAACAAGTTACTGTTAAACATGCATTTAGGTCTCATAAGGACCTAATGCACAGCATGTTGACTAGAGTTAAGAATATGATATTGTTATACTTGAAAGTTGCTGAGAGTAGATCTGAAGCATTCTCACCACAAAAAAAAAAGAAAGTCGGCTATGTGAAGTGCTGGATGTGTTAATTACTTTGACTTGGCCATCCTTCTACAATGTATATGTATATCTAATCACCATGTTGTACACTTTACATGTAAGTAATTAGATTTGTGAGTTACTCACCAATAAAGCTTAAAAATACATTCTAACAAGTCCAACGATGGGAATGAATTTCACAAATAAATGCTGAGTGAAAGAAAAAGGACTTCAACAGCACCAGAATGTTAATTTGATGAGGGCAGGGATTTTTATCCATTTTATTTACTCGGGGATTCCATTTCTGTATAGTTCAAAGACAAATCTTTGGTGTTGAAGTTACGCTAGTGATCCATTAGGCCAGAGGGAGTGGCTCATGCCTGGCAGGAGGCCTGAGAGAGATTCTGAGAAGCCTGTAACTGATGCGCTTGGTAGTCTGTGATTTTAAACAGCATAAGGTCAAGGCAACCCCCTAAAAGGAGATACCTGAACAAAGGGTTGGAAAGACTTCTAAATACATCCAAACTGACCACTTCTCATTCTCTCCACTGCTATTTTCGTGGCTGGGATCATTGCAGTAGCCCCCTGACCTGCTCCTGTTCATAGCCTGCCCTGCTCCCTAAGCAGTCTGCCCTAAAACAAGCAGGAAAGATTTCCCTTAAAGGTGAACAGTTCATGTCAATCTTCTACTTCAAACCTTATGTTCTTGCTCAAAAGTCCTTATACTGGCCTAAAAGGACACATCCCTCAAATACACCAGGCACTTATGTTCCTTCTGCCTAGAACACTATTCCCCAGACTTCCACAGAGCTCACTCCTTATTTCCTTCTACAACTGCTCAAATGTCACCTCCTTACACCATCCCTGACCACCCTCTTTAAAATTCCAATCCTCTTTACTCCAATCCCCACTTTACTCCCCATGCCATCCATAGACCCCCTAATTTTATTCTCTGTTTTCTTCTTTTTTCCAGCGTACTAACCATGTAATACACTGAAAAATTCACTCCCTGATTTACTGTCTATCTCTCCAGCCAAAGCATTAGTTGCATGAGGATAGAAACTGTTACTTGTTTTGCTCATTGAGGCATCCCTAGTGTCTAGAACAGTTGTTGACACACAATTAACCCCCAATTAAAAAAAAAAAACACTGAATTAAGGAATGAAATCTGGTTCCTTTCCTGAAAGCACTGAATAATAACTGAATGAGGCCCAACTGCTCATTCAGCCCACCTTTGGAAAAGGAAGTACTCCTATGATGAGATCAGGCCCCAGTAAAATGATCACACTGAAAAATAGCTAAGTTCTTACAAGATGGGACATTCCATAGACATCCTTATTTTTTCCTCCCAGAAAACAAAATCCCTGTGAACATTTAAGAAGCCTTTTCCTACCTGGCTTGTTTTTCTCAGGAAAACATTTGTCCATCAAACCTGCAATATTTTCTCTGTATCTGTTAAAAATTAAAGAATGAGTCATTGTTTGAAGCTTAATGACACAGAAACTGATTAATATTTAATAAGAGTAAATAGCATATTAAGCAGCACTGTGCTACATCCAAATTTGCTTAAAGACATTCTTCTAAAATAACTGAACTAAAGACCAAGAATCCTGTTTAACAAGTACTTCTTATTTCTAATTAGTACCAGTTAAAACTAGTTTCCATCAAGAAATTCTAACTAAAAAACATTTGCCTTACATGATTTTACCCAAAATAATTTATTGTAAGTTTCTGTTTACCTAATTTTGGAATCTCTAACATAGTTAGGATCTTTCAAATTATCTTCCCAAGGAAGATGGCCACTAAGCCACTGGATCATGCAATAACCAAGTATTTCCAAATCACCACGTCTTGAAGGGGCTATGAATACAAAAGAAACAGATTAAACATATTGGCATAATGTTTAAGAGATAGTTTCAAGTATTATAAAACAAGTTTAAAGAGCCAACTTTACAGTCTTGCTTTTCATCATAAAACTTTTACTGCATTGAATATTGGCCAATATAAAAGAAATAATTTACCTCCAGCTAATAATTACCTTTGAAACTCAAATTGGCAAACTCCAGAGTTTCAAAATGAGACCATTAAATAAGTCCAGGAAATAAATTAAAAACAGTGACACTTTTAATACTGCCTTTGGAAAATTTGGTGATATTAAGAATTTAGGAAGCTACTGAGAAGCCCAAAGAGCTGGGGATGTTAGCTCCTCTACAGTGCTGGGCACAGGAAAAAGATATGCCCGCTAAAGAAGCAGGCTAACTTAATAGGCAACAAAATAAAAGTTTACCTGTTACAAAGTTGTAACTGCCTAAGACACAGAAAGACATAAGGGGGAAAAAAATCCTAACATCTAATTAAGCGAAATAAAACCAAAAACAAATCCTTGCTCAGCTAACTAAACCCCTTTCCCTGCTAAAACCTTGGTATCTTGACAGGTAGAAGGAAGATGAGGAGAGAACAGCAGGGGTCCTGTTACACAATCACAGAAGTTCAACCACTCCCTTTTTTCCCCCTCTTACCTTACCTCTTCAGTTCTTACTTATCTACGTATTCACCTCTGCAGGATTAAGAACCATGTGGGAATTCAGTTGAAAATGTTACCAGTGTATTTCTTGTTCAAGTGCAGATGACGTACCCACACCATGGTGTGCATCAATGCTGGTGAATTCAATAGTGCCATCATGACATCTTTTGGGGTCCTTCTTATATTCCTTATGAATCCCTTCTGGGCAGTAGCGATAAGCAAGGCCATAATCTACCAAGTACACCTAAAAAAGTCCAAGCACCAAGATACATTAAAGCCAAAATGATGGCACAAATACTTCTTTAAAGCCCAGAAAGAATATACCATCATTTGTGGGTAGATTCATCGACAAGTCACCTCAAGCAAGTTACATTCAATATGCAAAAGTAGCAAATACTTAAATTGAAAGACTTATTTGAAGAAAAATGTTAAATGACCATGTAGCTACAGTTCAGATAGTATCATCTGACTTTATATACTTTTTTAGACGATTATGTGTTACACCTGTAATTAATCTTGTCTCCTCAACTTGAGCAAGGACTATAAATCTTACACTTTTATTTACAGAGCCTAAACAAAATTGAGCAGAGTAAACCACCAATATTTGCTGAGGTACAACTGCCACACATTGAATGTAAGACTGCAAACTTAGTTGACACAGTATGTTAGGTAGTTTCTACTCCTCTAGCTGCTTCCCTTATAAAATAACCAAATAGCAATTCACTTCATAAAAATATTTCTAAGATTATAATGATGTGAAAAACCTTTAGATGAGGCTTTTATCTACATTTAAATATTATATATTAAAGTCAAGTCTTCATAATTAAAACTAAATTTTAATGTTATACACACGTATCTGTGGGCAAGTACATGTCGGCCTGATTAGCATACAAAGCTAATAAATTTCACTTTCTTCTATTCCATAGCCACATATTACATCTCTAATCCTGGGTAACTGTCTCACAAGTATATGAATTTGGTCACAAGAGGGATCTGAAGTAAAAATATGGGAATGGATCTAGCATATACATCTAATACTTGAAAAATAATCCCATCCAAAACATGTGCCCACAGGATGACAGAATCACAAAAAATATTCCCATTATAAACAAAGGCAGCGTGTTTCAGTCAACTGCAAACTGAAATAATCTGTATTTTTATTTACTATATTTTACATGTCCAATCTACTTCAGTTAACAGAATCCTTATCATTCAGGTTCCTAGCTTCGTTTTGCTGGTTTTTAACCTAAAAACATCTAAAATGAGATGTCTACAAAGTCTGTGATTGCCTTCAAGATTTCCCCATTAGTATGCTACAGGAGAGCAACTTTCTTCTGTTACGCATTTACAGACAGATCCCTTAGAGCCACCATTAGGGAGATGGGGGAGGGAAAGAACATATGTGAGATGACAAGAAAGGGGAGCCGAAGGAAACGGAAAAACAAGCAAGAGGAAGTTACAGGAAGGTTCGAGGAAAAGCAGAACTTTAGGGTGTCAATATAAACACTTAAAATGTTTAAATATTCCTTTCTTATACAAGATCAAGTCAGAATGACAAACATGCAATGGATTAAACACAGTGGGCCCAACTATGAGTGTCAGCAAAACCTTACTTTTATTAAAATCATAGAAACAGCTTCAAAACAATTGTATAAATTGTTCTACACCAACTAAACTGACCCAAATAAAGGCAAAATAGCACCAGCTTTTCTCCTTTCCTTAAAAAGTAAAAATTAGAAAGTGAATGTAATAAACTAAAAAAATGCACATTTGAATTCCAAACACCAAGGGTATACAAATTTAGACAGCTAAGATATTTCTGTAAACCAATTGATTTGAGTAATCAACATGTTAAAGACCAAATTTTCCAAGTAACAGAACACTTATATTTGATGGATTTCCTGAACAAAGGAAATAAAAAAAATGACAAAGCAGACAGGCAAACATAATTCATTGGTGCACTATATAATTTTAAGCTTCCACCCCCAAATAGCTATTTGAAATTCATTTTGTATTACAAGTACTTCTTCTGAATATTATTTAGGGTAAAATAGCCAACTTGATAAAGTGCCAACAAATCGCATCAAAAATGCAGAATGTTAACTAGATAAAAGTTTCAAGGAGAAATATTACTATTTCCATATCTACTTCAAAAAGTAAAACTTCAGCATGGGTTCAAAAGTTCAAGGCAACCATATCTTGTTTTCAAACAACAGTTTTTAAATAGTAAGAATTAAAGTTATAAACCTACCTGATCAGGATTTTTGTAGCTCAGAAGAAGATTTGAGGCCTTGATATCTCCATGTACATACTCATGCTCATGAATATATTCCAGAATATCCAGCTATGAAAACACCATATAGAATAAATTACTGCAGTACCTAACACCAACCAGCAGAGGACTGAGCTTCAACACAACTAGCCTTTACTGGATGAAAAACAAGAATGTAGCTCACATACAATTCTTAAACTCAGCTTCAAGACGGTTTTTCGAGAAAACCTTTTGGCATTTGCTTCATATATTTTCTGAAGGTCACTCCCAAAGCGGTCCATTATCATAAACCTATAACTGAAGATGAACAAGACAAGTCAATGAACAAAATATAACTAAGGAAAACCTATCTTGCAATGAGTACTCTCCTTTCAAAGTAACTTTTTCAAGGCAAGGTTTAGTAAGGAAGTAAAATGAAAAAAAAGGGAAGAAACACAAACATTTGAAACAATTTCTTCTAACTAGAAATCCCAAGAGTTAGGAGTGCATCCAGTCCTGCCTTTCATCTTGAGGGCTTCCTTTCTCACGTGGTTACATGAGAATATATTCAATGTAAGATGACGTCCACAGACAGAATCCCACAGACTCACTCAGAGTAAAGATCAATCTTAGTAAGACTGATATCACTGATTTTTCTCATAATCAAAGGTAATTTATGTTTCTGGGTACTAGCTTCCTGCCTTTGAATGCTTCCTCTATTTTTAGGGCATATTTTAGCAGTATTAACATTCTATTTATAGCAGAACTGTCAAGAAATACTGTAACAATACCGAATTGAATAAAATTGCTTAAATGGTGTAAAAAGATTATATATTAAATACTCAATGGCCAAGATTTGGGGAAGACCAAATATCCTGAAAAACATAAAGATCTTGGTTTTGCCACAAGCCCAATATGTTATCTTGGCCAATTCACATTACTTCTTTGGGCCTCAATTTCCCTAAGTATCAAATGAGAGAACAGGACCTCATGCTTTCCAAGGTCTTTCCAGCACTCAAGTTCCCAGGTTTAGTAGCCATGTGTGTACTGAAAAGCACCACCTAGACGCAGTCACACAGTTCATCTTTAGCTCTGAAAACAGCTTTTATCTTTAGAAACTTTTCCAGATTCTTACTTGTCTAGTTAAACCACTCAATAAAGAAAAAACAAGACCACACTCAAAATGTATCGAAATATCTTCCAGTGAGGATGAGGTTAATCATCATCGTGAAAACAGCTAGCGTTTACCGAAGCTCTGGTGGGAGCACAGCACTGCTCTAAGCACTTTGGAAGCATCCGTGCATTCAGGCCCCACTTCACCCTGTGAGGCAGGTGCTCCTATTACCACCACCACCACCACTCTAAACCATCCTTTAATCACCTCACCATTTCTAAATCACACACATCACCTGAAGCATGATTCCTTATACTGCAGACAAATGTTTATCATATTATCTGCAAGGATATTTCTACCACTGTGTAGTAAAGTCAAAGTTATTTCTAAGTAACTCTTCTAAAATAAAACCATCGATGTATATTTTCCTGGGGACTTGGATAAAAGGATGCAAGTAATGGAAAAATATAAATCAGTATGAAGGATTATAAATGATTTAATAATGACAGTAGCTAATGTTTTCGTGATTCTAACACTGCTCTAAGCACTATATACATATTACTACAAATCACAGAGAAAAGTAAGGAGTCCTGGCAGGGGAGGAGGGCTGGAAGGACAATCTTACTGTTTCTTAACTTTTCTGAGAATGAAAATAATTATTTTTAAGAGCTTCAACTTAAAAATTAAATCAATCCTTATAGATGATTAATGTGTCCTTTTAGAAGTGATTAATGCTCCCTTCTAGCAACTTCATGCTACACAAGAACAGGCTGAGAGAGCTAAGGCCACCACTAGTAAGTGATGAGTTAAGATATGACCCGAGTGTGCCAGGCTCGAGTCCCAGCACCAGCATCCTCTGGTCCGCACTGATGGAGCTCTTTCCTGCAGCGCTCCTGTCAGTCAGCTTCCAGAGTTAACCTTTGATTCCACCATCTCTCCAGGCCCCAGTCACTTCAAAGGACACACACACACACAAGGCATATTTAATTGACTCTGTGATTTATCACAAAATAGGTGACAAGACTGTCTAGTGGTGAACATTTCACAATGTACATAAATGTTGAATCAGTATACTGTACACTGAAACTAATAAAATATTGTATGTCAACTTTACTTCAATAAAAACAAATTTTTTTAAAGAATGTATAAGGTCAGTGTTGATGACTTGAAGTCACCATTCCCAAACAAAAATAAATAGCACCAATAATAACGGTAACAATAATGACAATGGTGATGACTGCAACTAATATTTACTGAGAATGCTCAATGTGCCAGAAAACCCCCCTTAAGATTTCCATGTTTTCATCTCATCTTCACAATAAATCCATAAAGGACATACTATTATCCCCATCTTACTGACATGAGAGACTGTGACATGAGATTTGCATTCAAATCTGTGAAAAAGAGTAACAGTTACCCACTAAATAAGGGGGATTAAATGTAAAGCTGCTAGAACACGTGTAAGATACCTGTGTTAGCTTTTACTCTCAAAGGGGCCTTTAATCCTTAAATGTTAAGAACTGCTGGTTTAGAAAACAACGGAAGAGGAGGGACAGCATCTCAAGTGGGAGAGGAATGTGAACATGAGACGACATTGAGAGTGACATGAGAAACTGCAAGCAGGCAGCCCAAGACCACACCTGATGGAGTCAGGTATAACCTGGTTCGGGGAGGTTTAAGTTTAACTGTGATACACTTCTGTATATATAGGGAGGGAAGGATAAAGAAAAGAAGGAAAGACAAAGAAATTCATACTGATACTCTGGAAGGAGGGGAAAAAACTTGTTACTCCAAGTCTGAAGTCCTCTAGCCCAGCTACAGTTCTCTTCCAATTGTCTCCACAAAATATGGTTTTGATAAGGTACTGTTTCTTAGGAATAAAACTACTGTGCATGGGGTAGATAACAAATTCATCTGCTGTCCAGGAAGTCATCTGTAAGGGATTTTCCTGCCCAAGTGCTCTGTAAACAGGTTCCAATTCACCAGGCAAAACCAATTCTCAAATACCACTTTCACCATCATGTCACTGTCCCTCGTTCAAGAGCATGCAGTAGCTTCTCCCACCTACAACAACTGGTAACAAACCACTCTCTCCCTGGGCCTTCACTGGGTGCCTCAGTCTCTTTCTCGAAGCTGATTTCCTTCTCGTCCACACCTATGCATGCCCTCTTCCTTTGTTGAAGAAAGACACAGCAGACCAGAAGCCCACCCTGCCCTGTGTTCACATTCCTCTCCCACTTGAGATGCTGTCCCTCCTCTTCCATGGTTTTCTAAACCAGCAGTTCTTAACATTTAAGGATCAAAGACCCCTTTGAGAGTGAAAGCTAACACAGGTATCTTACACGTGTTCTAGCAGCTTTACATTTAATCCCTTTATTTAGTGAGTAACCGTTACTCTATTTCACAGATGAGGAAATTGAGGCAAAAACGAGTAACTTACCCAGTCACAAACATTTTAAGGGGCAAAACACAGATTTGAATGCAAGCAGTCTAGCTCTAGAATCCTTGCTCTTAATTTAATTAATCCTTGCTCTATACAATTTCTCCAGAATATTTCATAAAAACTATAGATGTTTTCCCAGCAAAAACATGACATATATGACATACCACATCTTGTAAGCATATATTAAATATTACTGATATAAAACACCCCTTCAGGAAGTCCCCAAGTTCTCATTACTTCAGGGAGCACCCTGGAATACATGGATTCCAGGATACAAATTCCCAGATAAACAACGCTGGCTGCCCACTCAGCAACGACCTCTTCTCTCCATCTTTTCTAACACAGCAGCTGCTTGGTTCAGGCATTCCGTCCTCTGCCACATGGCCATGTGCTTCACCACACCAATCACTGTGATCACTGTTCCCTTGCCAGTAACTGGTTTAAGGATGTGCAAAGATAAAACTCAAGTCTGCCATGAGACTGTTCAGAAAGGTTTCCTTGCAGGGAAAGTCAAACTCACAAGCAGCAATACTGTTTTCCGCTGTTGGACACTGTATCTGCCTGGCAAGCCTAGAAATGGGACAGCCACCCTGAGACCACAGGATGGAGAACAGAGAACAAAGCCAAGGTGAAGAGGGTAACATGCAGGGGCCTGGGCTCTTGACGATTCCTTAGGGAGCCAAGCCAGAGTTTTCCTTTACTTGTAGCTGAAAGTACCCTCACCAATGTACTCCCAGTTCCAAACTAAATCTACTCCAAATCTTGGCTACCAGCCCTACTCCAGGAAGTTCCATTCACTCATTCTAAGATTTTTAAGGTGTTACTGTGCATCAGAGCACAGGGATTTCTCCAATTCAGCTACGCTAACCACATTCTCCCCATGCTTTGAACTCCTAACACAAGTCAGAAGCACACAATTTAGCACTTAACTGTTCTCTATTTGTCTCATTCATGTTTGTTCTTCTCACCATCTGGACTGAAACCTCATAAAGAGCAGGAATCTACCCTCAGCATATTATGTATCTAACATGAAATTACAAATTGAAACCTAAAGGGCTACTTTTTACATAAATGACATGGAGTTTTTCGTTTGTTGGTTTGTTTTCAAGGGAAATAAAAAAGGCAGGGCACATATGGTTTTGTTCCTACTTGTCGGCTGGGTTCTAGTCAGTTGCTACCACTCTGCACAAGTCCTCCAGAAGAGAGACAGTCTCTGTCCAATGCCTCCAAGAAGCCCAGATGAACGCCTCACAGAGCTGTACGTGCCCAGTAAATAATTACTGACAGAAGAAACTGAACAGCAAATGCACAAAAAAGGCAAGAGAAAAACATGTATATTCTTACCTTTTTCCATTTTTATCATGGAGACCAGACCCCCAGTACTTAGGAACACCCAGGTACTTCAGTTTATGGGTACGAATCCATTTCTGAACTACAAGTTAAAATACATGCTCAGTATTTCTATTTTGTTTTATGCAATTTTTTTTAATCATTAAGAGCAGAATATATACATGCAGTAAAGTTTCATCTTTATTTATAAAAAATGAACAGTACATTATAACCAGTAAATGAAAAGGACAAAGCATTTTTATTAACTCATAAGTTTTCTTATCCTATCCTAAACAGTGTCTTTAAATAAAAATTCTGTAAAAACATCTAAAAAAATCAAATCACAGTACTACAGTTACAATTCATCTCTCTAATTATATAAATGTTTCCCTGCATTCACAGAAAAGCTAATTTTTTATTCTAATCTAAAAGTTTTTTTACCTCATTCTAAAAGACCTCAACCAGGAAATCAAGCTCTGAGAGAGATAGAAGTCTTCCTTGAGAGACTGCCAAGCCTGATACCATCCTATAAGGGAATTCCCGGACCAGTTCGTAGAGGGGAAGGCAGGGAAGAGGAGAGGGGACCAGAAACACTAGGGCGTCTAGAGGATGGCCGGCGCTCTTCCTTGACAGTCTGCTCTATTTCACCAATTACAGCATCCCCCAGAGGATTCTCAAGAGTTTAAAAAAATACTCAAAAAAGATTTGGAGGACTTTTGGGTTAGGATTAATTCTCAATTTTTAACAGTATTTCTAATGTCATATATCATTTAACTTTGTTATATGTATAAATATAGGCGAAACCTTATTATAACAAACCCATTAAGAGATCAAAATTCTTTCATACAGATCTCATTTAAATGGAAACCATTTATAAAGTAAAAACTAACAAGGCATCATAAGAGAAGATTCAATTCTCTAATATTGGCTTAAGCAAAACAGAACAGTGGTCATTTTAAAAGTTTCTTTTAATCAAACAAACAAAATAGATTCATAAATACAAAAAACAAATTGGTGTTTGCCATTGGAGACTGGGGGGTGTGGTGATGGGCAAAACAGGTGAGGGGGATAAAAAGATACAAAATTCCATTTATAAAATAAACCACAGGAATGAAATGTACAGCACAAGGAATAGTCAGTAATATTGTAGTATCTCTGTATGGTCACAGATGCTAACTACACTTATCATGGTGAGCATTTTGTAATGTATTTACTCACTGAATGACTATGTTGTACAACTGAAACCAATATAATATTGTATTATCAACAATACTTCAATTAAAAACAAAATATTTCTCAAAAAATAAAAGTATAAACATATGTGTATTGTATTCCTTACTTTGCTCTGGCTTGGCAGCTCGCTGGTAGAATTTTAATTCAGTAAAAAGAGGTCCATTGTCACTGGGTTCCTTAAAACATAAGAGTAAATTAGTACTAACAGTAGTTAAGATTACTGAGTTATTTTCAATGAACCTTCAAAAAGACTAACAAACCAATTTTTCTTTCCAAACAATGTGATTTTTATACTGAAGTTTATAACCATGTTTAAGGTTAAGTCAAATTTTTTAGAAATGTTTTAGATATTCTTAGAATAGTCGGTAAGTCTTGTATTTTTCTCACATTTCTATAAGTGATAAGATATATAAAATCAGACATATAGCTTACTCTTTGCAGAAGTTTAAGAAAAGCCTTTAAGCTTATCTTCTTCATTAAGCTTTCTCTTTAGCAAAGATCAGCAACCATGTCAACAGTTTCACCAAAAGACTACAAGATATTTCTAAGATTAAATAAAATTTCAATACCTAATTTAACCAATTAATGAAAAAACCCCATTCCTTTTCTGTTTCTCATTGCAGTTATATCTAGATTGTTAAAAGTGGCAGAACCCATACCCAAAAGAAGAGCATTCTGGAACTCCAGAGCAAGCAGGCACTGCATTCTTTCCTTCTAACACTGATTCCCATTTTTCAAACTAAAGGGCGCTCCAATTTACTTCCCACCTGATAATTTAAAGTCAAGAGGAAAATGGGGCTCAAAAACAATTGTTTCCCACCAACTTTACTGGACTACATTCATTCACATTTTGAGGGACAGTAACAGTTAAATTTTTTTTGTAAAGAGGCATATTTGACAAACAAGAACTATCAGCCTATTGGGAGTTTTTCCTTGTTAAATAAACATGGAAAAGTGGGAAACATCATGTAATTTTTTGGACTCTTTAAACAGAAAATTTTGTCTGATTAAAACTAGTTAGTATTTATTTAATGTTTGGTATTTTTATATTGATATTATCTTGTTTATTGAAAATCTGAGAAAAATTTTGAAAAGCAGCAAGAAGTTCCAATGAGAAAAGTAACATTTCTAAATTTTAGGGCTAGTTTTCTTTTATGAAGTACAGGAAGAAAGTTATTTTGGACAGAATATCTTGTAGCTGGAGTTCAAGGCTCAGTAGAACTTTAGAATTGGTAAGTGAGGCCCACTACCTTAACTGAAGAGAAAATTTGTCAAAATATGTAATTTTGGCTCCTGGAGATGCCTTTTGCAAATACTTAAAATACATTCATTCTAGATTCCCTCACTGTAACAGAGGTTAATTTTACTCCTTGATGTTTAAATAAAGTCGCTCTATACATACAGTTCTACGATCTCAGATCTCTTGTAATTCAGAAAAATAGGAATCCCCACTTAGAGTATTTACAAAAAGACTGATTAGGCAACCTTCAAAGAGGCAGCACCTCGTTAAGAATGAGCATTCTATGTAGCAAATGGGTAACATATATAACACTTGGAGCAGAATCTGAAAATAAGCTTGCCTTATTTGTTACAGGAAGTATATTTTCAGCCAACCTTGGAAGACAATGGTATACAAGGGCTTGATAGGTCATCACCTCCTAAAAGCAGACACTAACCAATATACTAAGTTGTGAGCGCCAAAGCCCTGATTTGTGGACCCAGGACCTCAAGCTTCATCATAACCTGTGGGTCGCTCCTTTCCTAGCAGCTATGCTAACTAGACAGACAGTTGTGAATGTTTAGAGCCCATGGCTGAGAACAGGCCTTCAGAAGGCGGTAATGAATTCAGTGTAAGAGATGAAGAAAGAGATAAATTCAAGAGAAGGAATTTTAGTAAAGTTACTCACCAAAGGCTAACTTCTAGAATGGCTCATTAATGTAATTCAGGTTTAAAAGGGGTTTTCCTAACACTAACACAAATTCTGGCTTATTGCATTCAGTTTGAAATTCTGATTTATTCAGTTTCAACCTATGTCATATCAACTTTAATTTTCAAGCTCTCCTTCAGGCAATAATTTATTAAACTTCTAATAATGAGAATCAACCTATATAAATCAGGCTATTATAATGAAAGCCCCACTACAATAAAGGCTTTTTGAGCTCATTTCTTACTTTTTCTAATCCAATAAGATTCCATTATAACAAAATAAAGGAATTAACTTCCATGGCATTGCACTCTAGCCAAAGCTAGCTATTTCTGTTCAAGAAAATACCTTAACTCATAACTAAAATTTTATTAACATATTTCAAATCTAAAATACTTTGCCAACTATAATAGCCAAGATTTAGAAAAGAAATTGGGACTGACATTTTAACTAGAATATCACTAAACGTTTCTTTAAGACTTCTAAGTGTCAAAATGAAGATGACAACAGAAAAAAATTTAAATGTGATATATTTCAATGGCACCATCTAAAAGCAACTGGCTGCCATTTAAAAATGAAGCTGTATACAGTCTCTCCTTCCTACCAAAAAATTGTGATATATATGAATTGAAAATTCAGGTCATTTCTCATAACACCATGCGGGTACTAAACATCAGTATGCAAACTTTCCAGGGAACTTCAAAATACAGATTTACATCCATCATACTAAAAGGTGAACATGACGTAAAGTACTGTGGGGACATAAGATCCAAAAACCTGGCCTCTAGGTCGAATTCTGCTATTTGCTCATTGACATAGTGGCAAAAGGTATGAGTAATTAAAGGAACTAATTCCCTATAAAGCCTCTTAACAAGAATTTTTTCCCCTTGCATTGTCTACATTATCATCAGTTTACCATTTCTCTCTGCATCTTTACTCCCAAAATAAAATATAGGTAGTGTCTCTTAGTTATCTAGAGGTGACCCAGTGTCACATCTCCAAGGCTGCTCCCATACGTCAATAAGGACTACGGCCCAAATCAAACTGGACAGAGTCATTTCGTAGAATATATTTAGTATGAACTTACACATCCATCTTGAATACATATGTCTTACCTTCATTTCAAGGCCAAGTGTAAGACACATTTGCGGGTTAAGTATTTAGACATCTCTCATAGAGCAGATATGCGTATTAGCAGCAACGAAATTTTCTGACAATTCTTCCACATTAAGATGGAAGCCCTCCCAGAAGCACAGGGCACCTGAAAGCCCCTGCTGAATAAAAGGATCCCCAAACAGGGATAAGCATGAGTGCACATATGGTTCCACTGAAAATAATTAAGCTTCTCCATGTGCCAAATTCAACCAGTGGTTCTCAACCTTGATGCACAAAATAATCCCCTGGGAGGATTTACTAAATACACCAATAACCAGGCCCTGAACCTAGAGACCCTGATTATACTGTACAACTTCTTGAAGTCAAGAACGACTGTTTGATCTGACATGCTATTAGATTATTAAGTCTAATTTGCCTTTTATTACATTACAAATCAGTTTGCCTTTGATTATCTCTTAAATAATATTTGCTGAGTTTTTCTCAAGATAAAATATGTGCTCATTTTAGAAAATTTGGAGACAGTTTGGTGTATTTTCTTTATACATGTATTTTAATAAAATTACCTCTGCTCTATATTTAATTGTGTGTTTTGCTTTTTTTTCCCAAGGAATTATGAAATTTATCCAAAGAGTACTACTTGTTCTTTGAAAACATGATTTTTAACAGCTCCTAATATGGCAAATGTTCATCAACAGTTCTGATTTCAATACTGAAAAGATATGATTCTCATTTTATACATCTGCATTTAATGAACCATTTCAACTTTTAATATTATAAAGTCCTGAGAGAAAAAAAATTGCAGAACAGTAATGGACAGAGCTACAGTAAAGCATATCACAACTGAAGGCAAATTATGAATGGGCCAAAGGCACAGACAGGAGATCGAAATAGTTGGCATCAGTAAGTTAGAAGGTGATGGGGAATTATGGCCAAAAGTTTTCAGAAGAATAAAATAGGCATTTAAAGGTGGCACAAAGAAAACAAAGTTTAAAATAAGGTCCTCATCATCAAATAACTTAAAATCCAGTTAGGGAGACTAAAACAACACATAAAAAAACTAAGAACAACCAGCGGCATGAGAAGAGTATTAGTGTGTGCAATTATAAAATAAACAGAAACGGAATGAGTGCTGCAGGAGTTTAAAAGGGTTCAGAAAAGACAGGGGTCAGTAAGAAACAGCAAACAGCAGCTACTAAACTCCCCTTGGAGAAGAAAGAGTCAATACTGTTCAGCTCCTGGCATTCTTCCACGATCACCAACTACAACAGTGAAAATGTTACTGATATTAAATGCAAAAGAGAAATCAACTCAATATTTATCACTGTCCTAATTAGAGAGAGAAAGAGTAATAAGGGCTAACAGAAGCAGAACTAAATTAGGAGAGAAGGGATGCAGAGGGTTTTAAACTAGGGTTTGATAACAAATGGCTTTAAACTTAGTGATGTGATGTAATTTGCTACATTAAACAGTTAGGAAATACTTGTTCCTATTTTTTTCATAACTCTGTAAGAAAGGTAATAAATGCAAAGTCACACTGCATAACTAAAATATTTAGAATTACCCATAATAAAGAAAAATATCATAATTCTAAAATAAAACAAACTTAAAGAAGCTCAGCTTGTACAGAAGAAAAAAGAAAGGGTATAAGATCCAGCACTGGCACTCTCCTCCTGAGACATAAAATGACTAAGCAGATAGACCAACAGCAAAGTGGTCAGAAATAACCACATTTTTTGAACCTCGAGATTATGAGAAGTCAGAAGGTGACTTGCTTTCTTCTCTCAATGGGAACTTATAGATCCTAAGAAGAAACAAATCTTACCTATTGATTTTAATATTTTAATTTGTCAAATCAAAGACAAATGCAGGTAATATTCTTCAATTCCATGCAAAAGGCTCAATTTAATAGTAAGAACTTCCATTCCTCTGGTATAGCAACAAACTGAGTATTTCCAAAGGACTGTTGTTCCACAAGCGAGAAAGAAGAAACCCCAAAATGAAAGGGCATGAAGAAAAGTGAAATGGCACAGGAAACAAACAAATGACACTCTGACTTAATCAGTTTTACCTTCCACCTGTGGGCACGATGGGATAACGGAAACCCAATCAGCACCCCCCAACACTAAACAAATACAAAAATGGACAAAGTATGGAAATTACTATTTTCAGACGTGGGGCAAAATAGACAGCACAAGACTATGGTCTCTAAAAAATGGGGAACAAACAAAGTGAGCCCATGACAGTCCCAGCTTTCTTCAGGGGGAAAGAGGAGGAGACTCGGGATGCCACGGGCATAAAGCAGGAGACAGACACAGTGCGTCAATGACCCTGACACCAAAACTGAAAACTGAGATGAGAAAACTAGGAAAAACAATGAAAGATAAATATCCCTCACGAACAAAGATGTAAAAATCCTTAAAATATTACTGAATCAATTCCAGCATCATGTAAAAAGCATAATACACCATAACTAAGTAGAGTGTATGTTAAGAACATAAAAGTTAGTTCAACACTCAAATATCAATTAATATAATTGCCACATTAGCAGAATAAAGGAGAAAAGTCCTATGATTCATCTCAATAGATGCAGAAAAAGCACTGAGAAAATAAGCAGGAAAGTTACAAACTGGGAGAAAATATTTACAACACGTGTGTCTGAAAAAGTACTTGTATCCAGAACAAATCTCTCACCACTCAATTATAAGAAGCAAAACAACCTAGTTATATTTTAAGAAAGAAGTAGTGGGAGGGAAGGGGGCAAAAGACTGAGGAGGAAACTCCACAAAGGAAAATTTATGAATGACCAATAAGTATAATGAAAAAGTGCTCAAACTCAGCCATCAAGTAAACATAAACTAAAACCATGAGAAACTACCACATTCCCAGTGTCACAGCTAAAAACCAACTAACCCAACAACTCTAAGTGTTGCAGAGGAGGTACAGTAACCAGAACTCTCACACATAGCAGGTGTGTAAAATGTGTAAAATGGTACAACCGCTTTGGAAATCTGTCTGGTACTGTCTTATAAGCTTAAGTATATACCTTCCCTATAAACTAGCCATTCTACCTCTAGGTATTTATCCATGAGAAATAAAACGTACATGCAAAAACACTTGTACAAGAATGTTTACAGAAGCTTTATTCATTAATAGCCCAAAACTGGAAACCATCAAAATATCTACTAAGAGGAGATGGAAAACAAACTATAATGTGTCTGTATGATACACTACTACTGAGCAGTAACACTGAATGAGTAACTACTACATCAACAGTATGGATGAACCTTTAAAATATTATGCTGAGCATAAGAAGTCAGAGACAAATAGTATATATCATTTAATACAATTCATATGGCATTCTAGAACAGGAATAACTAATTCATCAGGAGAAAAAAAAAGCTCAAACAAATGATTGCCTCCAAGGGTGTGGGAAGTAACGGTTTAACCAGAAAAGGGCATAAGCAATCTTTTTGGGCTGATGGAAGCATTCTATATTTTAATAGTGGTGTGGTTACATAGGTATATGTACTTGTCAGAAGTATTCTAATTGCTTATTTGAATACATAGGCATTTCCTTGTATAAAGTATACCTGAATTATTTTTTTAAATGTTAAAAACAATCACTAGAACAGTTCAGGTCCAAAAGAGTTAACTCATAAGGGATCAAATATATTCCTTTTTAAAAAGAGAGTAAAATAAACTGAAACAAAAAACCTTGGGGTAATTCTAATTCCAGAGTTCTATAGCCTTTAGGAAAAAAGGAGTGGTGGGGGGCCTTAAGAGGTAATTTGTAGAAATAATAGACTCCATTACTCTACCATTTAACAAAAGCACAAGGAGAGTTACAAATGTTGGAAAGCAAAAAGATACATAATATATTGATTACAAAAGAATAGTGGTTAAAACATCCTTTACTGTACCAATACATAAATAAACCTGGCTTTATGTCAGATGGTATGCTATCAACTTTTACTCATTACAAAAGTAATAGCAACAAACTGAGTATTTCCAAAGGACTGTTGTTCCACAAGCGAGAAAACACAAAAAGATGGTTCAGTGTGATCAGAGATAATTAAATTTACTAAAATGGAAGGGGAAGATAAGAAAATTGGAAATAATGAAGAGAAAATTGACCAAATAGAAGTTAAGAAGCAAATGCAAGATAAAATACAATAAAATTTCATTGAAGTTGTATAGTCTTATAGGATATAAATATAAAAAGCACCTCATCTATTACAAATAAAGCTGAAATGAAAAGAACAAGCTGAATATTTTTATTCCACAACTGTATACCTATGTGCTTTCATTTATTTATCCCCAAATACTACTGCCACTCTAATTCAAAAGAGAGAAAAGGGACTTACTGAATTCGAATTATTAAAAACTATAAAGCTACTCTTCTGTTTCATTAAATATTTATGAAACATTATTAAAAATGTAGTACCTTACTTTAATTCTAGTTACCAAAAAGGATGCTTTTTTTACAAAATAAATACTACACTAAATCAACAGAAAAGAAAAAAAATCAGCTAAAATATTTGCTTACCACTTTTACAACACAGGGTGCATCACTGCCCACCGATTTTGAAGAATTCGTATCAGCTGTTTGAAGAAGTGACACATGTAATATTAGAACAAGAAGCAGCATTATTACAAATAGCCTGTAACTAACCCTTTATTAATATTTAAGTCTGTAAACCTATAACCCCTTGATAGAATAAACTTCAGTTCCCAAATAGGTGTTTTACGATACCATTACAGTGTATTTCATCTACTTAAAGACTTTTTTTCATGATTTAACATGTCTGAAATTGGAATGCATCTTACAATTGCTGGTACCTTCAATATGATCATCCATTAAGTATGGAATGCTCTGAGTTAAAGATTTCTTTGATTCAAAATTACTCTTGGCCTTTCATACGCTAATGTATGTTGTGAATTCCCAAGATGGTGATAACTGATACAATGTCTTAAATTTAACAAACCAGAGAATCTTTTTAAGAAGTAGCATCAGAAAAGTAAGAAAAGTGGGAGCTAAAGTTCCAAAAAGCACTAGTTTGGGGGAAAACACTTCACCTAAATAGCTTAGACTATTGGCACTAGAACTTTGAACTGCCATCTAGAATAATTTTCAAGGGGCTGTCGTTTTATTTCATGCAAAAAAAGAAGCATAGCTGCCCTGGAATACTGAGTTAGGTACATAATGTTGACCACATTGATTAAACTAATGTTTTCATCAAGTACCTACTACACACCAGTTTCTTGGAAACTGATCTAGCAGTGAACAGGAAAAAGTAATCCCTGGTCTAAGGAACCCTTCAGTGGGAGGGCACAGATAATTAAATTATATAGTATTTTTGATGGTGGTGATTGCTACAGAAGAAAAGTTAAGCAGGAAGTAGACAGCGTTGCAAGGTCATAAGAGAAACCTCACTGACGGAGTGTCACTGGAGCAGCAGTCTGAAGGCAGGGAGGGAATAAGCCATGTAAACATCTGGGGGAAGAACATTTCAGGCAGATCAGGACAAAGGCCTCAACATGGAGCCTCTGACACATTTGAGGAAAGCAAGGAGGCCACAGCAGCTGGAGAAGCATAATGAGGAAGAAAGTCACAGTGAACAGATCAGAACAGCAGCAGGGAACACACACAATGAGCTTAACAGGTGACAACAAGCTGTTACTGTGAATGAGATGGAGCGACTGGAAGCTCCAAGACAAGGACGAGCAAGATCAGCCTGATTTTTACCAAATTCTTTGGCTCCTATGTAGGGAATGGAGTAGTACAGCGCAAGGGCAAGAGCAGGGAGCACTTAGGCTATTACAACACTCCAGGGGACGCACGTGGTGGCTTGAGGTGGTAG